TGTCTTTCCATCTTTTTGTGTCTCCTTAATTTCTTTCATTAGTGATTTGTAGTTCTCATTGCAAAGATCCTTCACCTTGTATTAGTCTGGTTTTTGTGGCTATAACAGAACTACCTGAGACTGGGTAATTCATAAGGAAAAGAGGTTTATTTGGCTTATGATTCTGGGACAGCTTCATCTGGCATGGGCCTCAGGCTGCTTCTTCTCATGGCAGAAACTGACAGGCAGCCAGTAGGTACAAGCAGATCATATGGTGACAGGAAGCGAGAGAGAGAGAGAGGAGGTGCCAGGGTCTTTTTAAGCAACCAGCTCTCATGAGAATTAATAAAGTGAGAACTCACTCATTACTCCCCTCACCCCCAGGGAGAGCATTAATCCATTCATGAGGCATCCGTCCCCATGACTCAATCAGTTTCCAATACTGCCACATTGGGGATCAAATTTCCCCATGAGTTTTGGAGGGGACAACACATCCAAACTCCATCACACTTTCTTGGTTAAATTCATTCCTAGGTATTTTATTTTTTTTGGTAGCTGTTGTAAACAAGCATGCTTTCTTTATTTCATTTTCTGCTAGTTAATGATTGGAGTGTAAAAACACTACTGATTTTTGTGGGTTGACTTTGTATCCTGCAACTTTACTGAAATCATTTATCAGCTCTAAGAGTTCTTTTTGTAGAGTCTTCAGGTTTGTCTTATATATAGGATCTGCAAACAGGAACAATTTGCCTTTGTCTTTTACAATCCGGATGACCTTTTTGTCCTTCTCTTGCCTGATTGCTCTGGCTAGTAATTACAACACTGTGTTAAATAGGAGTGGGAGAGTGGGCATCCTTGTTTTCCTGTTCTTAAAAAAAAAGTTTTCAACTTTTCCCCATTTAGGATGATATTGGCAGTGGATTTGTCATATATGACTTTTATTGGGTTGAGATACTTTCCTTATATACCTAATCTGCTGAGAGTCTTTACCATGAAGGAATATTGAATTTTGTCAAATGCTTTTTCTGTGTTTATTGAGATAATCATATAGTTTTTGTCCTTGATTTTGTTGATGTGTTATCACATTTATTGACTTGCATATGTTGGGCTATCTTTGCATCTCTGGGATGACCCACTTGATAATGGTGTAAAATATTTTTGATGTATTGCTGTATTATGTTTGCTAATATTTTGCTGAGGATTTTGCATATATGCTCATCAGAGATTATTAGCCAGTAATTTTTTTGTTGTATCTTTTTCTGGTTTTAGTATCGGGGTGATGCTGGCCTCATAGAATGAATTTGGAAGAGTGGCCTCTGTTTCAACTTTTTTGTAATAGTTTGGAGAGAATTGGTATTAATTCATCTTTAAAGGTTTGGTAGAATTAAGTAGTAAAGCAATTGGCTTTGGTCTTTTCTTTGCTGGAAGACTTCTGATTACTGCTTCAATCTTGTTTGTTATTGATCTGTTTTGGTGTTTTATTTCTTTTTGATTCAGTCTTGGTAGTTTGTATGTGTACAGAAATTTATCTATTTTCTCCAGGTTTTTAAATTTGTTGTTGTATAGTTGTTTATAATAGTCTCTAATGATTCTTTGTATTTCTGTAGTATCAGTTGTAATGTCTCTTTTTACATTTCTGATTTTTGTTATATGGGTCTTCTCTCCTCTTTTTTAGTTAGCCAAACTAATGGTCTGTCTATTTTGTTTATCTTCTTAAAAAACAGCTTTCTGTTTCATTGGTCTTTTGTATCACTTTTGGGTCTCTATTTCATTTAGTTCTGCTCTGATCTTAATTATTTCTTTTCATATACTATTTTTGGGATTTTATTGTTCTTGTTTTTCTGGTTCTCTGAGGTGTACCATTAGGTTGTTTATTCAGAATCTTTCTGTCCTTTTGATGTATGTGTCTATTGCAATAAACTTCCTTCTTAGTACTGCTTTTATAGTATACCACAGTTTTGGGTATTATGTGTCTTTACTTTCATTAGTTTCAAGAAAATTTTTGATTTCCTGTTTAATTTCTTCTTGGATCCATAGGTCATTCAGGAGTATGTTGTTTAATTTCCATGTATTTGGATAGTTTCCAGAGTATCACTTGTTATCGATTTCTGGTTTTAGTCCACTGTGATCTGAAAAGATACTTTGAATGATTTCAATTTTGTTTTAATTCTTTGAGATGATGTATTTGTGACCTACTATGTTGTCTATCCTAGAGAGTGTTCCTTGTGCTGATGAGAAGAATGTATATTCTATAGTAGTTGGATGAAATGTTCTGTAGAAATCTGTCAGGTCCAATTCATCTAATGTGTAGTTTAAATCCTTTGTTTCTCTGTTGATTTGTTGCCTAGTTGATCTGTCCAATGTTGAGAGAGGGATGTTCAGGTACCCTACTATTAATATATTGGGGTCTATCTCTTCTCTTTCTTTAGGCCTACTTGTGTTTGCTTTATGTATCTGGGTGCTCCAGTGCTGGGTGCATATGTATTTATGATTGTTAGATCTTCTTGCTGGATAGATCCTTTTATCACTAAATAATGGCCACCTTTGTTTCTTTGTATCATTTTTGGCTTAAAGTTTATTTTATCTGTTATAAGAATAGCTGCTCATTTTTTGTTTCCATTTGCATGGTATATCTTTTTCCATCTCTTCACTATTAGTCTGTGTGTGTCTTTACAGGTGAGGGGAGTCTCTTGAAGACAGCATATAGTTGGGTCTAGCTTACAATCCAGTCAGTTTGTGTCTTTTGAGTGGTGAATTTAATCCATTTACATTTAGGATTGCTATTGAAAAGTATTGTCTTACTCCTGGCATTTATCAGTTTTTGTTTTGATGTTTTAAATATCTTTTGTTCCTTTCTTCCCCTTTCATTGTTTGTCTTTAGTGTTTGTTTGTTTTTTGAGTTGGTAAGATATAGTTTCTTTCTCTTTCTCATTTGCATTTTTATTCTAGCAATTTTGCTATTTTTCTACCATTTTGTTGTTGTTCTACCAGTTTTATTATTTTTATCTCATTTCTAAAGGATGGTCTTTCTTGGTATAGCATTCTTGGCTGGCAGTTTTTTTCTTTTAGTATTTTGAATATATCATCCCATTTTCTTCTTGTCTGTGGAGTTTCTGTTGAGAAGTATATTGTTAGTCTGATGGGAACTCCCTCATAGGTGACTGGACACTTTTCTGTTGCTGTTTTTAGGATTCTCTCTTTGTCTTTGAGTTTTGCCAGTTTGATTAATATGTCTTAAAGAGGATGTTTGTGAGTTGAATCTGTTTGGGGATACTTGAGCCTTGTGAATCTGAAAGTTCATGTCTATACTTGGGTATTTTTCCACTGTTATTTCATTGAACATGTTTTTGATGCCTTTTCCTTTCTCTCCCCTTCCTGAACACTCATGATTTGGATGTTTGTGTGCTAAGGTTGTCTGCTAACTCTCTTAGATTTTCTTCACTTTTATTGATTCTTCTTTTTTTTTTTTTTTTTTGGTCTGCCTGGGTTATTTCTAAAAGACTGTCTTTAAAATAAGAAATTTTTTCTTCTGCTTGCCCTAACCTGTTGCTTACACAGGTTGTGGGTTTTTTGGTTTTGTTTTGTTTTTTATTTCATTGAATGAATCCTTAGTTCTAGGAGTTCTGTTTCATTCCTTTTTAGCATATTAATCTCTTTGTAAATAACTTCCTTCATATCCTGTATAGTTTTTTTTTTTTTTTTTTTTTCATTTCGTGTCATCTAACTGAGTCTTCTTGTATCTCTTTGAGTTTCCTTAGAATTGTTGCTCTAAATTCCTTTCATTTTTTTTTTTTTTTTTTTTTTTTTTTTTTCATTTCATTGTGTGGTCTAACTGAGTCTTCCTGTATTTCACTGAGTTTCCTTAAGATTGTTTCTCAGAATTCTTTCTTAGTTATTCCAAGGGTTTCCTGCTCTATGGGTCTGGTACTTGAGAATTATTGTATTCCTTTGGTGGTGTCCTATTTTCTTGTTTTTTCATATTTCTAATATCTCTACCTCTGTCTGGTCATCTGGCAGAGCAGATGCTTCTTCTTTTACTCTGGAGTGGGCTTTGAAGAGACTTCTTCCAATAGATATGTTTTTTATTGACCATTGAGTAGGGTTTTTCAGTATTGGTCCCAGGTAGATGCAGCAGTGTAGTTTCCATGTGGGTACGTCAGCCGTATTCAATGTCAGAGTTGTATGTGAGTGCCTCCATGGCCTAAGCACTGGGGCATTTAGTGATTTCTTGCTAAGGATAGTGAATGTACCTTGTGTCTTTGAAGATGTGAGCAAGTTTACAATTTCTTGGGAGAAGTGCCTCGTTGCCCTGTCATTCTTTGGCTGGGGTGGGTGACCCTGGCTGGGCTTGTTGGCACCCCTGCTATCATCCTGTTACCCTGATGGGTGCACTAGGGTATACTGGATTTCCTCAGTTTGAATGGGTAACTCTAGGTGTAGTTTCCTTTTCTTCTTTCCTGTAGGCAGAGGCTCCTCCTGGGTCCTTATTTCTCCCAGTTGGGGTATGAGTTGTTGGTGGTTGGGAATTTTCTTCCTTACTCTGTTTGGCTGTGCACATAACTCCCACCCCTAGGTGCACTACTAAGGGGATCAGCATAATTCCCCCTGTGGGGAGGACTACTGGGTCATGGGTCTGCACCTCACTCACCTCTTTCCTCAGACTTTGCTGGTGACCCTCCTTGTGTCAATCCAGTCAAGTGGTTGGTAGGCTGCCTACACAGTGGTGACTGCTACAGTGGCTGCAGCTGTGGCAACAGGCCACCCTTGAAACAGTGGTGGCTGTGGTGGACCACCCACCCAGCAGTGTTTTCTGCAGAAATGGTGGGCTGCCCACATAATGGCACCCACACTCCTGCTGTCTATTGGTGGAGGTTGTCCTCAGCTCCTGAGGTGCCCATGCTCCTGCTATCTCTCCTAAGAACATTTGTAAAGAAGCACCTGTCAAGTCATGCAGCTGTGTTTGAAAGACTGAAGAATATTTATGAGCCTTTTTAATAAATGTACTTTCTTTTCCTTTTTAGGGGCACTGCAATTGCTGGCATTGTGTTTGGAATCGTATTTATCATGGGGGTCATTGCTGGAATTGCCATATGCATCTGTATGTGCATGAAGAACAACCGTGGGACCCGGGTGGGTGTCATCAGGACTACCCACATCAACACCATCTCCTCCTATCCTGGTAAGTAAAACTGTTAACTTCTGAAGGAAGAGTCAAGTTTGTTAGTTATACCGCACTCTTTAGAGAGAGAAAGAAACATTAAAGACTCTCACTGAAATCATCTCCAATTTGTTAAGTATTTCTAAGTAAATATAGATGGAAGTTCTAGCTTTGAAAAGAGATTATTTAGATCCAAGTAATAAAATCCATCTACTCTATGAAGATATTCACATTTTCAATGGTTGTCTCATTGACTACAATTGCCAGTCAGCCAAAATTAAGATAAATAGACAATTCACACCCACTGCCTTCCTGCCAGTGAGTTCTGACAAGTAATTACAGAGAAAGTATAAGTTATTTGTCTCAATAAACTGGCATCTGATTCAACAGGTATATATGTCTTCAGAAAAAGTATCAAAGAAAGTTTTTATTTGTCTTCATTATGCAAAGAGAACAGCTTTAACATAATATTAAAATTCTCAACAAAGAGCAAAGGTAATAATTAGTAATTTGACAAGTATTTGTTGAGAATATTCTAGAAGTTCCACATAGAAATATATTGGGTACACGTGATTCCATAAACAATATACTGCATTTTGCATTAGATGTTTCTAGTAATATTTTTTAACTCAATCTGTGTATGTACAATTTGACATACGAAAGGCAGGCAAGTTCTAAGTTTGACACATCATCCATAGGAAGATAATTTCCCATGCACACTCATGTACTTTCTCTCCTCCCAAAGTTATACTTGTGTATCTTCGTACCAAACCTCTTTTCAGAATTTCAGATATATTTTATCCGAGTGCTTATTGGACATTTCCAGTTGGATATCTAACAGATATTCCAAATTCAAAATATCTAAAGCTGTACTTCTCATCTTCCCCAAAAATCCTCCTCCACCCACAGCCTTCGCCATTTCAACTGATGGCATCTCTCACCTTCCAGTTGCTAAGGCCAAAAACCTTGGAATCATCCTTGATTTTCCTGTTTCCCTCGAACCTGCATGCAATCTTCCAGATCAACTTCTCAGCTCTTCCTTCAAAATATGTGAAGTATCTAACTTCAGTCATGTGTCTCTTAATGACAGGGATACATTCTGAGAAATGCCTCATCAAGCAATTTCATTATGCAAGCATCATAAAATGTGCTCACACAAACTAGATGGTATAGCCTACTGCATACATAGACTATATGGTATAACCTATTGCTCCTACACGAGTAATGTGTTGCGCTACATTAGGATGGCTACAGTGTTACTAGGTGATAGGAATTTTTCAGCTCCATTATAATCTTATGGAATTTCAGCTCCATTATAATTTCTGTTGTCCATCACTGACCAAAATGTGGTTATGGGGTTCATGACTGTACTTCTCACAGTGAGAAGTAGACACCATTAATCTCACACTGTCAGCTCTCACCTCCCTTATTGTGATGACATCCCGCCTGTTCTCACAGCATCTACTCTTGACCCCTGGGGTTTATTTTCAACCCAGTAGCTAGAGCCAACCTTTTAAAAAAGATGTCAAATCATGTCATTCCTGTGCTCAGAATCTCCTGATGGTTCCCCACTTCCCCCAGGGAAAGTGGTTCCTCATCTTATCCAAAGTGAAAGGCAAATTCTTTACTGGGGCCTTCAAGATGTTGCATGAATTGGCTCCTTTTTTTATTTCTCTGGCTTTATTTACTTCCACTCTCCACGCTTGCCACTCTGGCTCCAGTCACATTTCTTTTCTTATGGTTCTGTAAACACAGAGGGCACGCTCTCATCTTAGGGCTTTGCCTCAACCACTGACTCCCTCACTTCATTCAAGTCTTTGATCAAAGGTCACCTCCTGAATGAAGCCTACCCTGATCACCCTATGTAAGATTGTAATGTGTCCCTTCTCACAGTGCCCAACCCTCCTAATGCTACTCTACTTTTTTTTCAGAGTGCTTTTAATCTTCTAAGATACCATATAGTTTACCTAATCATCATGTTGATTGTTTATTGTCCATCTCCTTCTAGAATACTAACTCCATGAGGCAGGGATCTTTGTCTATTTTATTCACCACCTATCCCAAGTATATAAGAGGCAATCAGCAAACATGGCTGAATGGAGAATACAACTCATGTCAAGACCTGATTTCTCATATAGCAATATCTAAGGAATTGACCTTACATTCCATTCTGGAATATGTAGCTTTTACTCACTACCAAAGCAACCTGCAATTTCAAATCTTCCAAACTTAGCAAGAGTATTGTTAGAATTCATGTCAAGATGTTGGCACTAGGATATAAGAAATAAATAAATGGAATTATTTTTTTTTCTTTGCATCTCCCCATTTTTCCCTGGGCCAACCCATAACCCAAGAGAAGAACAAAAGAAAGTCAAGCAGAGACATTAATTGGAAAGAAGGCAAAGAGAAGTGCTCCATAGATAACATTCTAGATACACATTTCTCAATCAAAAACAAGTGTAATAAAAATTAATTTTTAAAACATTTAAAAAGATTTTTATAAACTATTTTATATTTTGTTTTACCCTTCTGTAAGTCCAAACACTGAATAAAATTGGAAGATACAAAATGTCATTATTTCAGTGTAAGTTCATGTATTTTCTTGGGTTTGAGTTTTCTATCTTGTGCATGGAAACATGTCTTCAAAACTTTATAGTGGCATCATTTATACTGGCAGATCACAGCGGTGTGTTGCATATTTTCTGTAAATGCATTGTTCTGGGAACAGAATAATGCAAGCAACATAATGAACCTTATGCTGAAAGCATTTTTACTGCAAAAAAGACTATAGGTCTTCGAAAACATAATGTGCTTGATTACTTCTCATTTCCTTCCCAAAGTCACTAATTAAGTTTTTACTTAAAGTATCGGGAAACAGAACATAATAGTATTGAATGCTTTTAAAAATCTTTCATCTGTGGAAATACAAAATGTTTTTACCCACATCAATTAATTAACCCTGTGATAATTGAGATAACAACCCAACTTATTATATCATCCATCCTACACTGTTGAGGTCAGATAAATGAAGAAAACATAATTTAGTGAAAGTTATCTTATCCCATGGTGAAAGTGCTCAGTGGGGAGCCCTACAGTCAACCTTGTTACCCTTCACTAGGGAAGAGAAAATGTCATTTAGCTGCCACACCTGACCCTTTGTTGGACAGTGACCTTTCAAAATTAAGTTTTTCATTCCTGCCATATTGGATAGAATGAACAGGTGTTTCTTTAATTACAATTATTTTTAAAATCATTAGTGTGAAGACTTATTTGTCAGATTTAACATTTCCACTATTTTCCAGAACTTCAGTGTAAACAAACAAACAAAAAGTGATCATGTTAACCCTTTTATAAAAAGTAGGTTTGGATAATACTTACACATGTGAAAGAAAATAATATAGTAAAACCGTAACAAAGGGCTTGGCAAAGATATAAAAATCAAATGCCAACAAAAGGAAAGCAAAGGATTTCAATGCCATCACGAAAGTTAGGATTTGAAGTACATTATTCAAATCCCCCAAAGTATATTATTTGAGTCCCCTCGAAGACAGAGAGATTAGATAAATGGTAGACAGTTAGATAGACAGATGCATAGAATAGATCAACAATGGCGACTGGGCCGGAGGGCTCTTCCTAACAGAAGCATGTCAAAGGGTAAATGTGGAAAGGAGCTGGGGAATTGGAAAAAATTATCATTTAAAAAACATCATAAGAAAAAGATTTACATTAAAATCATCAACAGACGCCAAATCTAGGGGAGAATGTTGCTGAGGAGCAGGATGTTTGCAGGTCTTAAAGTGTCTACCAGATTTCTTGTCAGTTATAAGGGAAAAAATAGTAACTACACAGTGGAAAAACCAGACAACATCTTGACCAGGTGATCAAAATTAATAGCACCAAAGAGGGACAGATAGACATTTTGCACTTTTGGGTGTATTTCTCGAAGGATGACACAACTTCATGTATGTAGTGTTCTGTCTGGAAGTTCACAGCCTGAATCTTAGCATGAGAAAATATTTGACAAATCCAAGTTATACATCCTATAAAATAACTAGCCAGTAGACTTTAAAATCTCTTGGAAATACTTCATTAAGAAGTCAGTATTGCATTTGCATCATTGAATTCACAAATGAGAGTAGATTTATTAGTACATGTACTGAACATGGGAAGACTTTTGAGTACTCACCAAACCTTTTTAGAAACCATAAAATCATATTCATACTAAAGAAAACCCCTATGTATGCACTGAATATGAAAAAAAACCACTTCATCTGATGTGTAACTTCTTTACACATAAAAAATTCATACTAGAAGGGCTGAGCCCATGGCGCACTTGGGAGAGTGTGGCGCTGGGAGCACAGCAGCGCTCCCGCCATGGGTTCGGATCCTATATAGTGATGACCGGTGCGCTCACAATGCTCACTGGCTGAGCGCGGTGTGGCCGGTCTCAAAAAGGACAAAAAAAAAATTCATACTAGAGAGATTCTTTGTAATAACATTCTGACTATGAAAATGTTTTCATCTTGATCTGATCATCACATCTTGGGCACAGATGCTGACAATCAGTTCTGTGCCTCATAATCAATAAAAATATTGTATATATTTTGTGTGTGTATATATATATATATACACATATGTACATACATAAATATATGTGTGTATCTATAGAGAAAGAAAGAAAGAAAGAAAGAAAGAAAGAAAGAAAGAAAGAAAGAAAGAAAGAAAGACTTCACCTTGAAGACACAACTCATATGGGAGGAAAACAAAGTGGATGCAACAAATGTGGTCAAGTCTTCACCCAGGCAATCTTTTTTAGTATAAATCAGAGAATTCAAACATAAAGTGAGAAAGCCTTCTTTGATGTCATATTAATTATACTTACAGAATTAATGCTGCAGACAAAATTTACGAATTATCATATAGGGAAGTGGAGCTAGCAGGTGCAAAATTTTTAAGAGTTTTACTGTCAGATGGGTAGAGAAAACTAGTATGGACATGAAGTCAAGGATTACTTTGTTTCC